GGGGGGTGGGTTGCAGAGAGGAGAGATCTATCTCCTTTGGCTTCTGCAATAAAAAGCAATCACCACTTTCTATTACTACTCACAGTGGGGGCTTCCCCAAGGAATACTGAGGTGCTGGTAAGAAGGGGAAGAGGAGTGAATCCTGTCATGTTTTCATAACACGAACACTTAAAAGGAGTAGTAACTCATGGCCTTCCTTGATGGCTCCGTGGTAAAGAGTCTGCCTGCCAATACAGGAGAAACAGATCTGATCCCTGATGTGGGAACATCCCACAAGCCGCCGAGCGACTACGCACATGATGACAGCTACTGAACCAGTGCTCTAGAGCCCGGGAGCAGCAACAGCTGAGCCCACAAGCCACAGCTCCCGAAGCTCAGACGCCCTGGAGCCCGTGTTCTGCAGCAAAAGACGCCACTGCCACGAGAAGCCCACTTGCTGCAACTAGAGAAAAGCATGCACAGCAACGAAGACCCAGCACAGCCAGAAATAGATATAAATAAATATTAAATAAAATTTTAAAAATTAAAGCACTTTTTCACATCTACCCAATCTTCAGCCGAAAGTTATCAAGCTCCTATGCCCCAACCCCAGCCCCTGAAATTGCTCAGGCAAAGGTTGTAAACAGTTCTTGGATTGCCAAGTTGAAAGAACTTTCTCTTAAACTTTTCTACAGCATTTTATACTGTTGAATTCGCTCTCCTACGAGACCCATTCTCCCTGGGCTGTCTTGCTGTGCTCTCTCCTTTAGCCCCTCCTACCCAATTTCCTTTGTCAGCTATCCTTCCTTTTCACACCCTGTCAAAGTTGCTGAGTGTTAAGTTTCCGTCATTGGCCCTCTCTTCACCCCCTTCCCACCTCTCCCCTTGCTTCCCCTTTTCCTCACTGTTCCCCTTTCTTTCTCACTCAGTACTCTTATAAACAAAGAGATTTTTATAATTCATATTAACCTATGCTCTCTAGATGGGCTTCACATGGAGGTTCTTAAATTATAGGGAAAATGGTATGTATATGTGTATTTTTTCTTAGGAGAGGGCCTAGAGCTTTTATCAACAGTTTAAAACATCAACCATGTTGGTGCCTCCTAAATGTTTTGTCCAGACCTTTATGAGTTCCAGAACCATATATCCAACTGACTACTTGACATCTTCACCTAAAATCACCACCAATCTCCAACTCAGGGTCAAAAGCTGAGATCATTATCTCTCTCTCCCAAAGCCTGCTCTCCTTCCTCTATTTCTTATGCCCAAGAACTGTGTCACCATCCTCCTGATAACCCAAATCAGAAAGCTGAGCATCACCTAGCCCCTCCTAAACCACTCCTCATTGCTGTTCATTCATCCAAATGCTGTCCAGTCCACCTTCTTAACATCTCTCCTAAAGGCTTCTGTTGCATTTTCACTTCTTTAACAGATAATCTCCCATCTCTCAACTCAACTGTTAAAGTAATTTCCAAGTTTTTCCTCCATTTTCAATCTCTTTCCCCTCCAACCTATTTCTTGGACTATGTCATTCCCCAGCTTAAAACTTGAAGATCAGTTTTATGTTTTGTAAAAACTACCATGATAACAGTTCAAGAAAGTCCAAATTTTTCAGCATGGCATACAAAGTCTTTTATGATCACCTAATAAACATTAATTGAGTGCCTTGTCTACTCAAGGGTTTCCCTGGTGACTCAACTGGTAAAGACTCTCCTGCTAATAGAGTCAAGAGATGTGGGTTTGATCCCTGAGTCAGGAAGATCTCCTGGAGAAGGAAATGGAAACCCACTCCAGTATTTTTGCCTGGGAAATCTCATGGACAGAGGAGCCTGGAAGGCTACAGTCCATGGGGCACAAAAAGTCGGACACAACCAAGCACTCACACACACACACATGGCTTTTGGGGGCTTTCCTGGGGGCTGAGATAGTAAAGAAGCTGCTGCAATGCAAGAGACGCAAGAGATGTGGGTTCAATCCCTGGGTCAGGAAGATCCCCTGGAGAAGGAAATGGAAACCCACTCCAATATTCTTACCTGGGAAATCTCATGGGACAGAGGAGACTGGAGGCTTACAGTCCACGGGTTGCAAAGAGTCAGACATGACTGAGCAACTAAGCAGGAGCCTACTCAAGGCACTGTATTGTATGCTGGGGATACAATGATGAACAAGAGGAACAGATTCTCTGCCCTCAAAGACCTTACCGTCCACAGTGTGATGAGTGCTACAAAGGGGGAGCACAAGCACCCCAGAACTGTGGGGATGTGAGTGTCACAACTCATGTCAGAAGACGGGGACGGCCTTAGCCTCTTGTGTTCGACTTCTGGGAGTCATCAACAGGTGTGTATCTAGATATGGAACCAACAACTTTGTATGCGTTATTTCATTTAAACTTCACAACAACTCCTTGGGTTGGTACCATTTTTGTTAGCCCCATTTTAGAGATATGGAAACTGAGACCGAGAAAGTTAAAGCAGTGGGATTGGAATTCCATCCCACGCTCACCTGAAACCCAGCCCTCTTAGACATTTAAAAGCTGGTGCTTCTCTTTTGTTGTATTCACGAATCCTCTGGAACTATACTCAGCTCTGTAAACATGCCAGCCTATTTAAATTACAGTCCTGGCTCATGATGCTGCTGTTGCCTGAAATGTCCATTTCCCTCAAAAGCCTTCCTGCTAAACACGCGATTACCTTCTGTGATCCCGTAAAGGTGTTCTCTCTTCCATGTGGGCTCCTCCCCCAGAATCAGCCCCTGCCCTCTCTGTGGATACACAGAATTTCACAAATCTTTTCAAAGTTCCTGAAGCACTTCACATGCTTATGTGGGTAGTCTTCCCCTGCCATGATCACTCACTCAGTCATGTCTGACTCTTTGCAACCCCATGGACAACAGCCTGCCAGGCTCCTCTGTCCATGGAGTTTTTTCAAGCCAGAAGAAACCATAAGTCCCAAGGGATGATAATTGAGGACCTCTGTAATCTCAGAACCTTGTGCTATGGCTGCCATTTCAACACGAAGGAAGAGAAGAACAGAAGGAGGAAAGAAAAAGATGAGGGAGAAAAGAAAAAGCAAGCACAGAGACAAACACTCCAGTATAAGATAATACCAAGACCATCTGTCCTTCTTTTTAAAATTTGCATTTACTGCAAGGTCAATCCTTACCACCCCAACCATAGTCGGTTGGAGGACTGTTCAAGAAAACCTGCAGAATGGTTCCCACTCTTTTGGGGTCCTCCTGTTGTCCCTCCTCTCCTTCCAGTCTAGCCTATCCTCTCAACAGCTGGCAATTCCTCCCTCCAACTGCAGGCCACAGACAGAAATGAGGCAAGAAGAAAATAAAACCTCAAAGGAGGAAAACTAAAGTGAATGCCTGGCAGCACGTATGTGGCAGAAAGCCGCTTCAGGGAACAAAGAACAACAGAGAGCATTGAGAGGTAACCACCTTTCACCCTGAAGCCACAGAAAGCCTGGAAGCCTCTCAGTTTTAGGCTTCCCAGATAAGCCACCACAGTGCTGTAGCATGGAGCCTGAAGATTTCAAATACAAGTCTGGATTTTGGAAAATGCAAATGAAATCACCCGAGAGGGAACACTAGAATGGCTGCTTCATTCGTTTCCACCGTCCATCCTAATCAGACATTTAATCCAAGTGCCTGGGGGGTGGGGGGGGCTAGGAGCATGTTGGGGGCAGGGGAGATGATAATGGAAGAGGACAGATTAACTCTACTCCAGAGAAATCAAAACTTGTGAAGCAGTTTCTATATGACTTCAGAGTGAAAAGGGACATGTGTCCGAAGCAGTGGTCACTTGTGCCAGCCTCTGATTCCACGCTACCCCTGCCAAATATCACTGGCCCACTTCTGTCTGCTGCTCACTTCTTGGGCTTTTCCAAGCAAGACCTGCCCTAGATGTCCAGAAACCTGCTGGGGGCCTGAAATGGCCAAGCAGAGCCATTTGATTTTCTGTGTGAGAACTAGACTGATGTGAGAGCAGATGGGGGGAGAGTGGGGGAGTGTACGGGTGTGTATATTTTGGCAGAGCAATGTCAAGAAAGGAGGAAAAGAGGTTAACAACTTTACCACTTCCTAACCACTGCACCTCTAATTTTTCCAGTAAGGAGCTGGCTCACAGATCAGCAAAGGCCCCAGTGGGTCCCTGAAGGGTCCAAGCTAACCTGAGCTACAGCAGCCCATTACAGCCCTAGTAACACTGGGAAGAAGCGTTACCCTTATCCTCACCTCATCCTGCTTCCTTTCCCGCCTTTCCACCTTCTCTTCATTCCTTCCAACTTTTTGGTGGTGTCTCCTCCTCCCAGAGCCCATTTCTTCCACTGCCTGTTTCTTTTAATAGAGGATTCAAATCTTACGATCAAATTCCCACTCAGTTAGTAGCTCCTGCAGTTTACAGATCCCAGAGGTATACACATCTCCAATTTTAAAAGAAAATATTGCTGCAGATAATATTGGGGTGAAGGACACTTCTAATGATCTGAAGATTTAAATGACTCCTTTCTGTGGATAGCTGCTGGTTGCTCAGACAGTAAAGCATCTGCCTGCAATGGAGGAGACCCGGCTTCAATTCCTGGGTCAGGAAGATCCCGTGGAGAAGGAAATGGCAACCCACTCCAGTACTCTTGCCTAGAAATTCCCATGGACGAAGAAATCTGGTAGGCCACAGTCCACGGGGTTGCAAAGAGTCAGCCATTGACTGAGTGACTTTACTTTCTGTTTTTCTTTCTGTAGTCAGGCCCTGGCTGCTTGGAGATGGGTCTGGGCCAAGCAGGAGAATGAGAAGTTTTGAGATATAACAAGACACCTCCCTTAGGAAGTGTTCTCCTTCTTGAGTCTCATTCCCAGGCTCCTATTGCCTCAAACAAGGCACTGGTGGGTCCTAAACCAAGAAGTGGGCTCACTCGTCTGCATTTATATTCAGGAATTAGATGAAGTTCCCAGAAATGAAAACTGGTGAGTAATAGGTTAGGGGTGGGGAGAAAGGCTGTTTACTTCCTCTCTTCAAGTCAGCTAGGTCTCTTGAGGGTTCCCATCTGTGGTGACTTGCCCACTCAAACACACAGCATGTGGCAGCTGCTACCACCAGCAGCTTGGCTGCTTCTAGGTAAGTCAGAGTCACTTGGCCCGAGGGCAGAGCACAGGATGCTCTGGGCACAGCAGGCATCTCTTTTCAGGCAAGGAATGAGACCCTTAACCAAGGACAGAACCCCTTACCATGTCTATAGACCTTGGTTTAGCTCCTAGGACACAGCTTCAGGGGGTAGAGATACGGGAAATGGGCATAAACAGGACGTGAAAGGGGAGGACACGAGGTCTCCGTCACTTCACTCCTCTAGGTCTCAGCTTCTCTGGCTATAAACTGACAAGTATGGACCAGGTGGTCCCTAAGGTCTGTCTCCTATTCTCACTTTCCGATGCTCCTCTCTCAGTCTTTTCATTTCTATCCTTTCCAGAGGACTTGGGTGGAGATAGTTTCTATGGCTTGATTCAGAGATATTCAACCTGTGCCCTTAATTTGGCGGTCTGAACAGGGACCAAGGAGGAAGGGTATTGAAAACAGGGATTTGGGCAGACACCAGATTAGGAGGTGCAGACACTGGAAACCAGAAGGCAGGCAGTGGGAGCATTCCCTACTGTATTTATCTTTTTTTAAGATATCTTCACTTGTTTGTTTATTTAACGGCTGTGCTGGGCCTTCACCGTGGCGCTCAGGCTCTTCATTGCTTTGTGCGTGTGTGTGTGTGTGTGTGTCTCTAGCTGCGGGACACAAGCTTCTTGTTGCCGTGGTCTCCCTTGTTGTGGAGCACAGGCTCTAGGGTGTGCAGGCTTCAGTAGTCGTGGCTCATGGGCTCTAGAACATGAGCTCTGTTTGCTCTGCAGTATGTGGGATCTTACTTCTGGCTCCAGGGATTGAACCCGTGTCCCCTTTACTGGCAGGCGGATGCTTAACCACTGGACCACCAGGGAAGTCCCCACTACTTTTATGTTGGTTCTTGGGAACACTGACCTCTGAGGGCAGAGGTGGGCAGGGGAGATTAAATACCATGCTCCAGTCACCCTGTTCTTTGCTGCTGATCAATATTTGTTTCATTCTTTTTTTCTTACAGTTTCAGCTGACATACGAGCTGGTGAGTTTGCTTCATGGCCTTGGATTGATCAAGTTAGGCATGTAAATGTGTAATAGCCACAGGGTACTGTTAGGAAATGTTCTTTGAACAAGAAACTGCTGACATGGAGTTGGTGGTGGTGGTGGTGTAGTTGATAAATTGTGTCTGACTTTCAACCCCAGGGACTGTAGCCTTCCAGGCTCCTCTGTCCATGGGCTTCTCCAGGCGAAATATTGGAGTGGATTGCCATTTCCTTCTCCAGAGGATCTTCCTGATCCAGGGATTGAAACCAGGTCTCTTGCATTGCAGGCAGATTCTTGGCAGGGGCAATTCCCCCAGTACAGTGGGGCTTGGCCCTACCAAGGAGGAGGCCAAGTCTCTCCAAGTCAAGAGGCTCAGACTGAGTCCAATACTGAGGCTGAATTGCCACCTCTCAGTTTGCAATGGGTTTTGAGCCTCCCTGGGAATGCCAGTATAGAGCCTGCTCACTTCTCTGCCCTTATCTACATTCTCTTAACACTTGAGCAGATTTCTCAAAGGCTGTGGTGGACCTAGACCCTGTGTGGGACCGAGTGCTCAAGAACGACAGTGTGACTCTGAAGTGCAAGGGAACCTACCCTGTTGAAGACAATTCCACAAAGTGGTGGCACAATGGGACTCTCACCTCAAAACAGACCTCCAGCTACCTCATCAAAAATGCCCAGGTTGAGGACAGCGGCGAGTACAACTGTCAGACAGGCCTCTCTGCACCCAGCGACCCAGTGAAGCTAGAAGTCCACGAGGGTGAGTAGGAGAAGGGGAAAAGGGAACTGACCAATAAAGGAAAAAAAGAGGCCCTGAAAAAAAAAATGTTCCCAGGGGTTAAAACTAAGATGAGATGATCTGTAGTCTATTGAATTACATCAGAATTGGAGTCTTAGCTACAGGTAGGCCTTAGATAAAATGTCAAAGCCTGGCATACATTAGGTACAGGGCAGCTGCACTGCACAATTCCAGGAATCTACATTCACATAGAATATGAATATATGCAGCATGAATGGTGTCATCTGATGGTCAGGGCATGACGTCAATGCTATAATAGTTATTGAATAAATTAAAGAATCCACTTTAGGACCTCAATCTCCTCATTCTCAGAAACAATCTCCACATTCTCTAAGCTACCCCACAAGCCACCCCTAATCTAACATCATATCTATCTCCTCTTCCCATCAACATTACACTCAAATATACACTTCAGCCTAAATTTGGCAATGTGAAATCTCTCCTAATAGAGACAGATACATGTTCAGCCTGCACATTCATCATGGAATGAAAGTCTTTGTGTCTTAACAAAATCCATGCATTAGATGCAAGGAGAAGTATGCTATCACATCACATAGCCTGGTACCTGCTGTGTCTTGTAAGCTTGACTCTATTTGCATGGCTACCCCATCTCCATAATGTATGTGAGTGGAACAAGCCTGGAGGGAAAAGTGGGTTTAATGGAGGTGGACCTGCAACAAAAGTCCATGGACTTGGCTCTCTGAAGCTGACTTTCGGGGCTCCTACGTCTGACTGTGTTACTCAGTTGACTTAGCTCTCGATCTATAGAGCTACTGAGAGGAACGTCTATCATCTAGCTAGGTGAGAGATGGCCGCGCATGTGTGCCAAGTTGCTTCAGTCGTGTCTGACTCTGTGACCCCATGGACTGTAGCCTGCCGGGCTCCTCTGTCCATGGGATTCTCCAGGCAAGAATACTGGAGTGGATGGCCACGTCCTCCTCCAGGGGATCTTCCCCACCCAGGGATCTAAGCCACATCTCTTACATCTCCTGCTTTGGCAGGCAGGTTCTTTGCCACTAGTGCCACCTGGGAACCCCAAGAGATGGCCACCTGTGGCCAAATAAAATGGGAAATTACCAAGAGGAAGCAAGAGAAACCTCAAGCCTGGGAGTTGTTAGTTTGTCTTAAACTTGGCTCTAGAAACTGACTTTAGAAATCTAATTAATGTAAACAGCTTTAAACTCTGACCAAGAGCATTAACTTCACCAGGCAAACTTCTGCTCGTTCTTTTGGACCCACTTCATTTACCTCCTTCCCTGAGAAGCTTTGCTGACTTTCTTTGGGCTGAATTTTTTTGGTACATTCTCTTTGGTCATGCAGTCCTTTGTTCTTAGCCTGTAGTAGCACTTATCAGCTGGTATTATAATTATTTCTGAGTATATGTGTTTCTATGCCTAGACCACAGGTTCTTTGGTGTGCCTTAGTCATCTGGGTGTCCCCAATCTGCATAACATGACTTAGTAAGTTCTCAATAAGATATTTGTTTAACTAATGTATAAATGAACATTCACTGTGTCCATGACAGCCAGAATGGAATAAGAACGTTCTCCCCTCAAAGAAACCAAACTATATATGTGTGTGCGTGCATGTATGTATGTGTGAATGTACAACATACATTATGTATATATGTGTGTGTGTATCTATATATATATTGATTACATACATAACCCCCTGTTAATATTTAAGTACATGTTCTTTCTTTTTTTACGAGCATACATACGTTTTATATTCTTTTTAACTTAACATTCTCTGATAAATGTTTTCTCATGTCACTTTAAAATTTCTCTGCAGTATCATTTTAAATTATTCAGGCCAACTTCCTGACCATGACTTCAAGTTCTCTGTGTGTGTGAAATCTGGTTACTTGGCAAGACAGTTGTGAAAAGAGTTGTTTTGATGATTAACTTTTTCCATCTTGAAGGCTGTGCTCTGTAATGAAATGGTCTTTCTAAAACACTGTGGCCCCTGAAATTAGCAGTTACCATCAGCACTACCAAGCATGCTTTTCTTTCCTCTCCCCGACTTTTACAATGAGTTTTCCTTCACAATTTCTGTAGCCACTCCTGCGGATACTTAGTAACCTTCTTCCTGACTGGTTGCAACAGTCTTGCAAAATCCTAAAACTGTCTATTCCTTCTAAAGTCTATCTACCTTTCCTTATTTTCTAATATGATTTTTACTCTTTGATCTAGAGCTTACAATGGCCCCTTATCACCTTCCATAGCAAATTCAAGTGTAGACTTTACAGGTGCAGCAGCTTGCTTCTCACCTGCCTCATCACTTAGTCCCTCTGCTCTAACTTTGTGCTTTGATCATGTGTGTGCTTTGATCATGTGTGTGTCTGTCCCTCTCTCCCATTAGACAAAAGATCTTGGATTGACTTTAGTTCTCATCTAGAGTCCAGCTGTCTTTTTCCCAAAGAAAGTTATAGAAGGATGGCGCCCAGTCTGGAGTTCATTATCCCTCAGGATCTGGGTGGTGAGCATCCCCTTCTGAAGAGCTCTGTGCTGGATGCTGAGGCCTCCTGGGCCTTGTTCTCTTTGTGTTTTCCAGGCTGGCTATTGCTCCAGACCCTTCAACGGGTGGTAAATGCGGGACAGCCCATTCAGCTGAAGTGTCACAGCTGGAAGAAAACTCCTGTAGTAAAGGTCCAGTATTTCCAGAATGGCAGAGGCAAGAAGTTTTTTCGTCAGAATTCTGACTTCCGCATTCCAGAAGCACGACTTGAACACAGTGGTTCCTACTTCTGCAGGGGGATTATCGGGACAAAAAACGAGTCTTCGGAGTCTGTGCAGATCACTGTTGTTCAAGGTAAGACACGTGCAGCCCTAAAGGGTCCAGAGACCCCTGTGCTGAGAATCTTGCATTCACACTGGGAAGATGAGTTGGGAGGAAATTGCTGACAATTCCACAGACTTCTTTATAAGTGTCATTCACTCCGAAACATGACAGCAGGTGCAAAGGCCACATTTCCTCCCTCATAAATATGCCTGTCCTAACTTACCTCATTCAAACCATATCCACACTCTTGTATGTCTCTAACATGCTGGCCTTTTTAACCTGGTCCTGATCGCATTTCTCTCCCAAGCCTCAAGTCTTAGCCAAGAGTCCAGCTGGCAGTAACCCCTAACTTTCTCACAGAAAGTCCCAGAACCTGTGTTCTGGCTCTGCTGCTGATTGACCACATGACTGTGGCCAGTTAGTCTCTTAAACCTCAATTTCCACTTCTGTAACAAAGACAAGCTGACATTTATTGGGCATCTTTCAGTATGCTGGACACTGTGCTGAATGCTTCATTACATGCACTTAATCTGATGATCATAGTAACCCTTCAAAACAACATTAAGAGATTGGTAATAGTAACTCTACAGATGAAGTTTTCTGTAACTCTAAAGTTTTCTGTAATATCAAAAATGACAGAATGATCTCAGTTCATTTCCAAGACAAATACAGCAATCCAAGTCTATGCCCCAACCACTATTGCCGAAGAAACTGAAGCTGAATGGTTCTATAAAGACCTACAAGATCTTCTAGAACTAACAATAAAAAAGATGTCCTTTTCATCATAGGGAACTGGAATGCAAAAGTAGGAGGTCAAGAGATACCTGGAGTAACAGGCAAGTTTGTTCTTGGAGTACAAAATGAAGCAGGGCAAAGGCTAACAGTTTTGTCATGAGAACGCACTGGTCATAGCAAACACCCTCTTCCAACAAAACAAGAGATGACTCTACACATGGACATCACCAGATGGTCAATACCAAAATCAGATTGATTTTAGTCTTTGCAGCCAAAGATGGAGAAGCTCTATACAGTCAGCAAAAACAAGACAGTCTGACTGTCTTCTTGTCAAGACCAGAAGCTGACNTCGGACATGACTGAGCAGCTGAACTTAACTGATATTGAATTCCACTTTCCAAATCACTTAGAAAACATCTCCAGTTTCTGTAGCACCATCCTCCAGGGTCAGAGATGCCTTGCCATGGTGCTCCTGGACTTCCTAATTTCCCAAAGCTTCCACCTGGAATCAGACTGGGATAAAAACCCTGATACTGGGAAAGATTGAGGGCAGGAAGAGAAGGGGGCAACAGAGGATGAGATGGTTGGATGGCATCATTGACTAAATGGACATGAGTTTGAGCAAACTCTGAGAGATAGTGGAGGACAGTTAAGCCTGGCATGCTGCAGTCCATGAGGTCACCAAGATTTGGACACGACTGAGTGACTGAACAACAATGCACTGTAAGCAATTAATATGTAATAAGACAGCAAGATAGACACACATCTTCTGAGATTCTAACAAAACAATGCCATACTTTGCATAAAAAATAACTTCATCACAATTTAAATGGAAAGTAAATACTCTCAAATAGCTAGGAAAAGAGAGAGCAAATAATAAAGAAAATGGGGGCAAATTGCAAACAATTAGTAAATCTAAGTAAAGAATATATCTAAGAGTTATTTGTACTTTACTGGCAACCATTTTTTAAGCTCAAAATTATATCAAAATTAAGATTTTAAAAATTGAGACTAAAAATCCACTCTAATCTTACTATCTTATAGCCAACAGCAAGGAATGACTTTAAAACAATCTTAATGGCTAAGAGGTTGAGAACCAACAAATTCTACCTCTTTCCATCTTGGATTCTTAGTTACTGAGCCTTGATAAAGAAATATTTTTCTGACGATAAGTAGGATAAGTAGTAGATTTCAATGGCTCACTTTGTGTGTGTGTGTTGGTTTGTTTTTTTTGTTTGTTTTTTTTTTTAGATTTCCTTGAGTGGGATGAATACAATGAGTATAGTTTGGAGACACAAGAGAAAGTTAGTGAATTAAGAAATGGTGTTCTCACAACTTAAACTTTGATATCTTTCATTGCTGTTGTACAGTCGCTAAGTTATGTCCAACTCTTTGCAGCCCCATAGACAGCATGCCAGGCTTCCCTGTCCTTAACTATCTCCCAGAGTTTGCTCAAACTCACGTCTGTTGAGTTAGACATCTCATCCTCTGTTGCCTCCTTCTCCTCCTGCCCTCAATCTTTCCCAGCCTCAGGCTCTTTTCCAACGATTCAGTTCTTCGCATCAGGTGGCCGAAGTATTAGAGCTTCAGCTTCAGCATCAGTCCTTCCAATGAATATTCAGGGTTGATGATCTCAAGCAAAACCCAGCTACAAATACCTCCATCAAACATGAAAACACTATTGCTCAAGAAGCACTAGAATCCAAAACTGGTGGGAGGAAGCTATGGCTTTCTTCCAGACTCCCCCACATTCCATAGAATCTGTTTCTTAGCAGGTGTCAGAAAGACTTTACATTGATGACCTCACTGTTTATTCCAATTTTCTGCCTTAACAAATGTCATTTTTTCTCATCCCTCTGCTCAGATGTAAAATCTTCACAAACCGTCTCATCATTCTTTCCACCTTGGCACCAAATCACTTTCTGTCTGGTGATGGGCCTCCTATTTGCAGTGGACACGTGGCTGTATTTTTCTGCTCAGAGAGACCTTCGAAGCTCAGAGGAATGGAGGGATGGCAAAGTCACATGGAGCAAGGGCCCTTAGGACAAATGAAGGTAATAAAAGCAGCATCCCCATCCCATGGGGGTGACAAAAGCAGCATCTATGAACCTCTTTCTAATTTCACAGCCTTATCATCTCCCAACAGGCATCTCTGGGAGCAGCAGGAAAATTACACTTCAGACTCTAGGGATCTGAGGATCCTTCACCCAGTTCTGTTTCTTCTAGTCTCCTATGGAAAGAAAGTGCCAACAGTGAAGGACCAGCAAATATCTGCATTACCAGAAATAGAAGTCTCAGAGCTACTTGGATGCTTTCTCTATTTCAACCATTCTATCCCAAGAGAACAACAATACAGACTCTCAAAGATTACCCCTGTTGTATGAAGATTGTGCTTAAATAATGGATATGTAAATACGAGAATTTGTGGTGGAGAGGCAGCTGGATGGTGGTCTACATCTGTTGCTGCAGACTGGCTGCCTTCAAAGCACCCTAAAACTCCTTCTAGATAGACTGTGGGTACATTTGGGGGTCTAGGGAACAGAGCACAACCAATGAAGAGGGTGGCTAGGAAAGAGCAGGGTAGTCCAGGATAGACTAGACAAGACCACCACCTGGGCTGTCTTCCTAGAACATGAACCATGGTGGAGGTAAAAGAAAATCACAGAACTGAGATAGGATTGAGTTTTCCAGGGGAACCCCTGTCAAAAGTATACAATGTGAGTCTGTGAGTATACAATGATAAACCCTCTCAATGTCATAAATAGAAAATGGTCCAGGAAAGGGGTTAGGGGTTGGAGGATTTGCAAAAGAAAGCTCAGAATAAACTCATTGGAAGGAACATTGCTGTCCCAAATTAAGCCCAGTGAACAAAGATATATCAGTGTCTACACTGAGAAAGCATTACAAGAAAAAGTCAACCACAGCTGCACAGGAAGGAGTTGGCAGGAGATAACGATGCTTTTATACTGAGAATTAGAGAGAAGGGGCATATAAAACCAGAATTTTCACTTCAGTATCTAATTCAGCTTTATTCACAACACCCTTAAACAAATGTTGGGTAATCACTATTAAATGTACTAAACTCTACTAAATTAAATCATGAACTTTGAAATCCTTCAGCATGTCAATAATAATGGAGTAGAGGTGAAGTCAATCATTGCTTATGGAAGAAAGCTTTAGCTATCTCTCTTTGTGTTTTAGAAGCTTTAAACTGAACATTTCTTGATTCCGGTAAGGCATTTTACGAGATTCTGAATGTTATTGTTAGATAGAAGATGGAAAAACCATGATAATAAAACATGAATGATGGAATCCTTTTGTCCTCCCATTGTCTAAAATCTTATTAGAGATTAGTAAATGAGAAATCCCTCTCCTCTTAGCAACCACCTCACCACAATTCATATGAATTAGTCAACTTGCTAATTCACCAAATCTTGCTGGAACAACTGGGCAAAGGGGAACTTTTCCAGGTGGTCTGGGATAGGAGGATGAATGGGAATTAGAGGTAGTTTTAGAGCATGGGGCAGGTAAGAAAAGGTAGAGCTAGGAAGGAAGTAGGTCAACTATGAGCTTTATGCCAAGCCAGCAACTCAGGTTTGGTATAAGAATATTAGAAGTATAGGGATATCAGATTTGGACATGAGACAAGGCCATTTGGAAACGTTAAACATTCAACTCACATTTACTTAGTACTTAAGTGCCAATTAAAAAAACCTCTTTTTTTTTTTTTAAATTTTCATCTAAGGCTGGCCCTAATTGCAGGCATGGGGGTTCAGTTGCCCTAGGGGTTGTGGGATCTTGGTTCCCAAGGCAGGGATCAAACCCATATCCTCTGAATTGGAAGGCCAATTCTTAACCACTGGACCACCAATGAAGTCAGTTCCCAAGCTAGCGTTTAGCTGTGGAAGATATCAAGATGAACAACCCAGGGTCATTCCCTGGAGCAATTTCCATTCCAGTGAGAAAAATAAAAAGCATAAATAGAGGATGAAGAAAGGGCTGCCAAAAAGAGGCTGAACGTTTGGCGTTGTGGTTGTGGATGACCAAGAGATAGCCAGGCAAAAAGGAGAGGCGCTGAAAGCTCACGGGCAGTGATTCAAAAGCCAGAGAAGGGGGTCAAGAAAGTGGTTTGGTTCTGTTGCAGTCTAAGGAGTCAGTGAAGGACACGAGGGAGTTCAGGGGCCAGATCTTGAAAGGCACTGCCTTCCAAGCTAAGGAGGTTGTCATTTACCCTGCAAGTCATTGAGGGATTTTAAGCAGAACAGGTCTTTTCTAAAAAGCCTCTCTGGCAGCTGCTTGGAGGCAGGAGAGAAGAGCAGAGTTGAAGACAGGAAACTGCTTAGGCAGCAGGGTGGCTATTGCAGTTAACTCAGGGGGCGAGCAATGAGAAAGTAGATATCAGCAGGCAGAAGAGGAAGATGGCTATTCAAATATTCAGAAGGTAGGTTCTCCAGAAATTGTTAACCAGCAGGACGTCGCATGACTGAGGGCCCAGGGTCTGGAAACACGGTTTCACAAGTTAAGAACACAAGTACAACGGGCAAGACAAGCAGAGGTAGGGTAAAAGAATCCAGTTTTGGATTTTGAATGCTTACTTCCTTTGGTTGGTAAATATTTTTAAAGCATCAATTTCGTGATGCAGTTTTAATAGAATCTTACTCAAGCAAGTGAAAACTGTTTTACTAGTTGCAACCCTGATCTCATACGCCCATTGTTTAGAAACTGCTAGCAAAATATACAGTAAACTGAGAGCGATGAGACTCGTGGTTGTCAACGGGGAGGAGGCGAGGGAGGAGGGGAGGACTGGGAGTTTGAGGTTGGTAATGGAAACAGTTACATTGAGAATGATAAACAGTAAAGTCCTGTACAGCACAGGAAACTATATCCAATTTCTTGGGATTAACCTATAATCATGTGTATAACGGAGTCACTCTGCTCTACAGAAAAACGCCATACAGTGCCACAGAGCGCCACAACTCTGCTATACAGTGTTAGGCCAAGGAGATTGGCACAATCCTGTCAATCAACTATTGTTGTTGAGTCGCTAAGTCCTGTCCGACTCCTTTGTCACACCATGCAGTGTAGCCAGCCAGGTCCTCTGTCCATGGGATTTCCCAGGCAAGAATACTCGAGTGAGTTGCCATTTCCTTCTCCAGGGGATCTTCCTGACCCAGGGATCGAGCCTGCTTCTCCTGCACCGTCAGGTAAAGCGGGTGCTTTACCGCTGAGCCACCAGGGGAGCCCAAATCAACTATGAAAGTCAAAGTCAAAGTCGCTCAGTCGTGTCAGACTCTTTGCGACCTGCTGGACTTTACAGTTGGTGGAATTCTCCAGGCCAGGATACTGGAGTGGGTAGCCTTTCCCGCCTCCAGGGGATCTTCCCAACCCAGGGATCAAACCAAGGTCTCCCTCATTGCAGGCAGATTCTTTACCATCTGAGCCACAGGGAAAGTCCCAAATCAACTATACTTCAATTTCTAAAACAAACAAAAAAAAAGTAGTATATTGGACGCAGGCTGGGTGGAGATTTGCAAACTTTCACAGTACTAATGCTATTTGGTTTCCTGTGAGAAACTGACAAGTCTGTCTCAAAGGTCAAAATTGCTGCCTTTCGTCCCTGGGTGGGCTCGAACCACCAACCTTTCGGTTAACAGCCGAACGCGCTAACCAATTGCGCCACAGAGACGAATGGTGAAGACAGGGTTTGCCAAGTCGGCCACTGAATAATAAGCTCGAAGTGTTCTGTGTCTCCAATGTGGTTGAGGCCGGCGTAGGAACTGGTAGAGACATCCCCTCCAGAGCACCAGGGAAGTAAGTAGCCCAGAGAGAAGTGGGTCCTTTTCCCGCACTAGCACCTGCTTAGATCTGAAACAGGACTCAGTTTCTACCTGGAAGAAGCTAAGAAAACGAGAGCAGCCGAGGGTGAATGAACCGGACTCTTCGTCGTCGTTCGGTCTTTCACTCGTGTCCGACTCTTTGCGACCCCATGGACGACAGGCCTCCCCGTCCATCACCAACTCCCAGAGCTTGCTCACTCCTGTCCGTCCAGTCGGTGATGCATCCAACCATCTCATCCTCTGTCGTCCTCTTCTCCTCCTGCCTTCAGTCTTCCCCAGCATCAGGGTCTTTTCCAATGAGTCAGTTCTTCACATCAGGCTGCCAAAGTATTGGAGCTTCAGCTTCAGCATCAGTCCTTTCAATGAACATTCAGGGTTGATTTTTCTTTAGGATTGACTGGTTGGATCTCCTTGCAGTCCAAGGGACTCTCGAGAGTCTTCTCCAACACCACAGTTCGAAGGCATCAGTTCTTTGGCACTCAGTCTTTTTTATCGTCCAGCTCTCACATCGGTACATGACTACTGGAAAAACCATAACTTTGACTATACCGACCATTGTCGGCAAAGTAATGTCTGTGCCTTTTAATTCACTGTCTAGGTTTGTCACAGCTTTTCTTGTAAGGAGCAAGCATCTTTTAATTTCATGCCTGCTGTCACCGTTCACGGTGATTTGGCGGCGAAAGTCTGTCACTGTTTTCATTGTTTCTCCATCTATTTCGCCATGAAGCGATGGGACTGGATGCCATGATCTTAGTTTTTTGAATATTGAGTTTTAAACCAGCTTTTTCACTCTTCTCTTTCACCCTCTTCAAGAGGCTCTTTAGTTCCTCCTCGCTTTCTGCCATAAAGATGATGTCATCTGCATATCTGAGGTCATTGATATTTCTCCCGGCAATCTTGATTCCAACTTGTGCTTCTTCCAGTCTGGCGTTTTGAATGATGTACTCTGCATATAAGCCAAATAAGCAGGGTGACAATATACAGCCTTAACTACTCCTTTCCCAATTCTGAAACAGTCTGTTGTACCATGTCTGGTTCTAACTGTTGCTTCTTGACCTGCATACAGGTTTCACAGGAGGCAGGTCAGGTGGTCTGGTAGTTCCATCTCTTTAAGAATTTTCTACAGTTTGTTGTGATCTACACAGATGGGGTTCTTGGGGGGAATCCAAAATGAATGCTGTGGGTTCAGGAGTTCATTTGGTTTTACTCAGAGAAGTACATCACCATACTTTTTTGCTGATTTAGGCAATTTATGCATTCATGTGTACATGCGTGAGTGTTAACTTATAATAACATTATTACTGTGAAAAATTTAAATACTGCATCACATTTCCAATCATATCTGGAAAAATGTTATCTAAGTAGAGGAGCATAGTGAAACAAAACTAATCTTCAATTCCAACTGTTTAGAAGGATTTCTACTAGCTTATTAGGCTCCCAGACAGAACATAGAGTTTATAAAATGCCTGTAATTTAAGGACTTTCACTCTGACATAATCCAGATTCAAATATTCACGGGTCCTTATCCAACAAAATCAACCTAGGGATTCTGGTCAGTGCTGGACCTGATAAAGTTCATCTCTTCTCTCCACTTTTTTTTTTTATTGTAAAAAGTTTAATAAAGACTTTAAAAATACTCCACATCTATCCATATCTATACCTATACCTATATCTATATCTATCTATCTATATATGCACACACATATAGTGAGGGTAATTAAGGCCACTTAGTTGTGTACTTAGAAATGGTTTAAATGATAAATTTAACCTTTACATAACACATTTCATTTTTGCCACAATTAGAAATTATCCCAAAAAAATTTTTAAGGAAGGAGCTATAAGTCTGTCATACCCTTCATCTCTTCTCTCCACTTTGGAGAGAAGCTCCTCTCTTTGTTCTTGAGCCATTTAAAAACCCCAGGCTTCCTGAACTGCATCTTCTCTGCCACAGGCATACCCAACCAGGTTACAACACCAGTTCTTCGCTGAACCCAGGCACTCACAAGAAGCAATTTTCTCTGTTGCCCAAGTCCCAGGGCACCTCTGAAACCAACACATAGAATTTCCATCTTCCTTCTGCACCACCATCCTCTTAATAATGGGTTCCAGATTAGGTGCAGGTCCAAGTTTTCACTGACTTCCAGTGAAATGAGAATATACACTATATATATATGTGTGTGTGTGGTGTGTGTGTATCTCAGATAAGTTTGCCAAATGACCTCCAAGCCAACATTGTTTTTTCACACTTCAAATTTTTGTTTTTAAACGTCCCTTCTTTTATAACATTAAGATGAGGATAGATGACAGTTGATGTGGCTGTGATTGTGTTATTAATTTCCTAACTTAGCAAAACAAAAAGTTAGCAACGCTTTGTTGGTCACCAACATTTGGGGGAAATTTTTACTTCTCTATGAAGACCTAGTTTGGGAATCACTACTTTCATCTTGGCCACAGAAAATAAAAATATCTTTCAAG